TATTGAGATTCACACATAAATTTGGAGAGGTAGTAAAATCTTTGCATGGCAGGGGCAGCTCTGTGAATTTGAGCACTTGAAGTGGGTAAATAAAATAAATACTTAATTAGGCTTCTTAGTTACAAAAAAAACAAAAACCTCTCAACATCAACAAAGTGGTAGCATGAAAACATGCATCCTATCAAGCAACAAAAAGAAAACATGGCAAGAAGGGAAATCAGTTGGTCAGCACAAACAAGCAAATTAACCAACAAACAAGTCTTAAGTGTACCAAGGGTTAACATTTAAATGACCTCCTCCAGTCATTCTAGTGTGGATGGCATCCCCTGGTGGCCTGGATGACAGTACTATCATTTTTCCCACTGAGCAGCCTTAAAGTCCTCATAGCCATAGGATACATGCATACATCCACAAAATACTGTATAATGGAAACAAGTATTCCATTACTTGTGCTGTACCTGACCCTGAACCTTTTAACGGTGGCTATGTGTGTGTTTATGTGTGTAGGCAATGTCACAGCCCTGTGTTGGGATCCTGTGCAAAGGGTTTTATTCTCTGGAAGTTCTGATCATTCAATCATCATGTGGGACATTGGAGGCCGTAAAGGAACAGCTTTTGAGCTGCAGGGACACAAGTAGGACAGATGAATTGTTGTCATGTATTTAAGATATGAGAATAAGCAAAGCATGCTTGCCAGGTCCTAATATTTGAGTGTTTGTGTGTGTGTGCGACAGTGATAAAGTGCAGGGTTTGTGTTACGCTTCACACACCCGTCAACTCATTTCCTGTGGCTCAGATGGAGGAATAGTTATCTGGAACATGGACGTCACACGGCAGGAGGTGAGAAAGATATAGTGAGGATGAAGTATCTAGTACATAAGGGATTGCCTCCGTCAACAGGACATGTAGTATTTATGTTAGTTACATATGTGTGTTTACATAGTTTCAGCATGTCCTCATCTGTTCTGTGTCTCAGACTCCGGAGTGGCTTGACAGTGACTCGTGTCAGAAGTGTGAACAGCCGTTCTTCTGGAATTTTAAACAGATGTGGGACAGTAAGAAAATCGGCCTGCGACAGGTACAGTGCACAATAGCATTAAAGTTACACTGCAAAAAGAAATAAAATAATTTATTAATCAATATTTTTGCCTTGTTTTACAGTAAATTCTAAACATCCTTAAAACAAGATAAATTTAGTTGAGAAGCTAAATTGTGTAAGATAAGACTTTTTTATATAATATACACAGTCATTCAAATATTTGGGGTCGGTAAGATTTTTAAAATGTTTTTTAAAGATGTCATGCTCACAAAGACTGCATTTGTTT